TAATTTTTTAAGCAAAATAAATTTTTTTAGAAATATCAATTTCTCAAAAACCCCTAAAATTTAGCAACATTTCGAGCAAAAAATAACTCTCAATCTTTTGATAATCAAACAAATCAACACACATGCATTATAAAGGCTTCGATCATCTTTCAAACGTATCAAATTTCATAAAAATGATCCAGTATTGAAGAATTAATTGAAAAAATGGTGGCAATTTCAGATCTATAAAATTTTCATCACATCGATCCAAAAAAAATTCATATAAAAAATTACTTAATCGTAAATAAACTTACCTATTTTATTTGAGAGATGAAGCACACATGATAAAAAACCACAACTCAATTTGATCCAAAATGTCCAATAAATTGATGAAAAAACTTAAAATTTGGATCGAACTTATCGTTTTTCAGTAGTAGTATTTTGTGCCAAAAACGACCCACGATCTTCTGTAGATCGAATAAAGTGAAACACAGATATGGTAGAGGGTAATATTATCTATCCAACGGCCCAATTTTCATAAAAAAACATGATTCAATAATGAAGATTTAATTGAAGAAATTATGGAAATTTCGAAAATCATGAAAAAAAACCATTTCAATCGACTAAAACTCTGTTTTTATGGATATTTGATTCCAAAATTGCTGTTTTTTTTACAACATATGATGATTTTATGTGAAAGGAAAGTGTATATGTTATCAGGTTAATATATGTTATCAGGTTAATATGAAAGCTGTATATTATAATCTGTATATTTGGAAATGGTAGATATAATATCTTGTATTTATGGTAAATATAGGTATAGTATAGGTTTTTATTAGTGTCATTTGTAATTTGTCTATAAAAGACAAATCTGTACATTCATATCCATTATTGGACACTGAGTCTCTTCAAAGAAACTTGAGACTCTTCACATAGTATCAGAGCAAGGTTCATCTTAGCTGTGTTCATTCCTCATCTCTAACTTGAGACTCTTCACATAGTATCAGAGAGAGGTTTATCTTAGTTGTGTCCATTCCTCATCTTTGAAGCATTGTCACCAATTTTCAAGACGATTCTGTTACTCATCCAGTCAGTGCAACCTCTTCCGAGTCGTGTTTCAACTATTTGATCTGTATCTCTGCCGAGTCATGTTTCGACTCTTTGATCTGTCTCTATGCCGAGTCATGTTTCGACAATCTGATCTGTCTCTATGCCGAGTCGTGTTTTGACTTTCGGATTTGTTTGATCTTTTCCAAGAGTTCCTAAAGCCATATGCTCTCGAGGCGTTGATTCGCCACTATTTTTTGTGCTTGTTGATCAATAAGTATGCACATGAAGATCCAGCTGCTCGTTTATGTGACTTGGTATTCAAACTCTAGCTGCTCTCTTTCATGGCAACTTGAGTGTAAGGGTGACTGTAAAAAGAAAGTTTATATTGTATATTTGGTTAATGTAGAAGGTGTATATTGTAATAAGTAAATATGAAAATGGTAGGATATTGTCCTGTATTTTATGGTAAGTCTGTGTATAGTTTAGGTGCCTATGATTTAGTTTCTGTTAGTGTCATTTGCAATTTTTCTAAAAAATACAAGCCTGTATATTCATATCAATTAATGCACACAAAGTCTTTTTAGAGAAACTTGAGACTCTTCATAATTTATATAAAAAACACAATGAAAAATGCCAAAATACGGAAGAAAAATAAATAAATAAAAGCAAAAAAAAGTGATTCAAGGGTTTATGCTGCAAATAATGGCATTTGTTTTTCAATAATAGTTTGTGTTGTAAGTTGCCAGTTAAAACGTCAATAACATTATTTTTTTTATCAAAAACCAGTCCGATTAGCTAAAAGACCATCTGGTTAGCTATAAAATCGGGCGGTTTGTGTATATTCCGACCGGTTTTGGTCTGGACATGTTTTACAGGGTTGAGTATTCTTATTAGAACCCCAAAACTGGAGCTAATCGGAATCGGGAGGATCCCAGTTCAGGTTTGAACCGGCCATTTTTTTCTACACTGATGATAAATTTATAGAAAATTGTTTCATGCAGGCTGGACCGCATTTCTATATATGTAGTTTAGAAAGTGTAAAACATCAATGTTAAATATGCATGCAAAACAATGGAAACTAACCGTCCAAATGTTTTCTTACTAGAATTATTATTTCTAGTTTTAAAATTTATTTATTTTTCATATTCATGATTTCCATGTTAGCGATTCCATGTCCTTAGAAATTAAGTCTTATAATCCATCTCAAAAAACGAATTTATTCAGAGGCCCACATTTCTACATAAAAACCGGGTCCTAAATTTATATATAATAGTTTTTTTAATGATTTTAATTGTTTTGGAAAAATATCGGGAAGTATTTTGACCATAAATATTCATTTTTATATTTTTCCATCTGATTATTTCTATGATATTCCTGATTATGAAATGATTATTTAAATCTAATTTTTACTAAATTTTTAATTTGATTTTAATGTATTTTGTTTGATTATATTTTAAATAAAATAAAAATATTTTTTTCGTTTTATTTAAAATTTTAATTTTTTTTTGGCCCGGCTTAGCGACGTTCTGTTCCGGGACCATAGTTGGGAATCGTAGAATGGCGAATTTGGGTTTGAAATGGATGTGATGGTCATATTGGGAAAAGGAAGGGCGTCTCTTGTCGGGATCTTGTGAAAACTATGCCTGTTTCTTTATAGAGATTAGAAGTTGATAGCATGGGATATTCTTTCCCTACGGAAGAGGGGGACGGGCTTGGGAAAGCAACGCTTAGGGGTAAAATAGTAAATTGTGACAGAGGGTCAGTAGGACGCAAAATTGGAGAAGATTGGGGGTTGATTTTTGGTCCACGAGAAATTACCCCCCGCGGAAAATAGCACAAAGTTGTTGCTTATGCCGGCCCTGAATCAAAACCTCTATTCATTCCTTCCTATATAAATACCCTTCACCTCTCCCTAACCTCTCTGCAAATAATTCTCCTTCCCCTTCACCTCTACTGTAAAAACCTCAAAAACACTTTGTGCCATAACCTCTATCTCTCTCGAGAAAACCTTCTCTGGAGAGCTCTCCTCATCGCTTGGTCATCACACCAGCACTTATTCATATAAACTCTCTTCATTTGCTTCCGCTTATTTGGGAAGCATGGATTCTACTGTGATGGATAACTGGTGGTTACTCGCGGTGCCCGCGAATTGCTTTCTTTTCTCAGCACTTAACGCTTTCCTCCTCGTGTTCTTTAGTTTCATGGCGACCATGTGCGTGTACTGGGCATGGCCTGGGGGTCCAGCATGGGGCAAATACTGGAGTGCTAAAGGCTTGTTTAGACGCGCAGGCCCCACCATACCAGGCCCGAGAGGCTGGCCCCTCATAGGAAGCCTAAACCTCATGACTGGCTTGCCTCACCGTCGGCTTCAAGCTACGGCTTCTCGGCTCGGTGCGGTCCGTCTCATGGCCTTCAGCTTAGGCGAGACACGGGCCATCATCACCAGCCACCCAGATGTTGCAAAAGAGATCCTGAATAGCTCTGCTTTTGCCGACCGTCCGATCAAGGAGTCCGCTTATGGGCTCATGTTCCACCGCGCCATTGGCTTTGCGCCATACGGACCCTACTGGAGAGGACTTCGGAGGATCGCTGCCACACACGTGTTCTCTCGGAAACAGATCAACGGCTCCGAGCCCAGGAGACTGGAGATAGCGGCACTAATGACTGACGCTCTAGCTGAAGCGGCCAAAGATGGAAGGGATTTTAGGATTCGGCGCCTTCTGAAACGGGCTTCGCTTAATAACGTTATGGCGACGGTTTTCGGGCGCCGTTATGAATTCGACCAGGCCGAGCCGGAAGCCGTGGAGCTGAGCCAGCTTGTTGAGGAAGGCTATGAGATTCTAGGGACCCTTAACTGGTCTGATCACTTGAGCCTTTTGGATGGCCTGGATTTACAGGGCGTGAGGAGGCGATGTTCCAAGCTCGTGCCACACGTAAACCGGTTCGTAAAGGGACTCCTCGAAGAGAACCGGGTAGGGCTCGCCGGAGAAACGGCAAACTTCGCACGTGTGTTGATGTCTATGGAGGGGAGCGAGAAGCTCTCAGAAGACGATATGGTGGCGGTGCTCTGGGTAATTCACTCACTCAACTCCAGAGAGAGAAACAGAGTCGTGTTTAAATTACTAAAATACCCTTTCTAAAATTCTTATATATTAGAAGGGTGTCCGTGCATGATCACGCTTTTAACCCCGCGTCGGTTATACGGAATGATGATGTATACTCACCGTTTTATCGTGAGTGAGAGAGAGAGAAAGAGAGAGAAAAAGCTTACCTCCCCTGTTAATGCTTTTAATGTTCCTTCTCTTACACAACGGACGAGAATACTAGTGTCATTTTTTATTTAGAGAGCGAAACGCTAAAGGGGCTGGTGCCGCCGCCGTCACTTGTGATCGAGTGACGGAGTAGCCCTTGCAGGAGAGGGGCTGGGGCCCCCGAACTCATGTTTAAATATAAAAAACAAAATTATCGTATAAAAGTTAGGACCGTTTCACCCCGAGATCCTGTTAAGCCTCGACCAGCACCAGGGCTAAGACCCTCTTTAGTGGGCGACAGACAAAAAGGGTGGTGCCATGGAGGTCGTTCCATTTTATCGTTTTGGATAGTTCTTTGTAGTTTGGTATTGGGACCACGGTGTCGAGTACAGTACGATTATTCGTACTGAGGCTTAAGACGCTGAAGCGTATCCTCCGTACTGTGCAGATTTTCTTTTCGTTTTGTAATTGGATTGGATTTTCCCTCTTGCAACGTAAATAACCCAGAGTGAGTGAGTGTGTGTGCAGGAAATGATCTTCAGGGGAACAGACACAGTGGCAATACTGATCGAATGGGCGCTGGCCCGCCTAGCCCTGCATCCTGATGTCCAAGCCCGGGTCCACGAAGAACTAGACATAGTCGTCGGCCCGACTCGCCACATCAGCGAGGCTGACCTCCCTAACCTCCCTTACCTCAACGCCCTCCTTAAAGAGACGGTACGCCTCCACCCCCCGGGTCCACTCTTGTCATGGGCCCGACTCTCTACTGTTGATACCACCGTGGATGGCCGCCACGTGCCCCAGGGGACCACTGCAATGGTTAACATGTGGGCCATAGCGCGGGACCCGTCCTTGTGGCCTGATCCACTTGCTTTCAGGCCGGAGAGGTTTTTGGACGGCGAGGATTTCAGCATCATGGGGTCAGATTTGCGGCTCGCGCCGTTCGGGTCGGGGAGGAGGAGCTGTCCCGGGAAGGCTCTGGGCCTGAAAAGTGTCACGATCTGGGTCGCTTATCTTCTGCACGAGTTTGAGTGGAGGCCGTCCGATAAAGAGCCGGTTGATCTGACAGAGGTAATGAGGCTGTCTTGCGAGATGAAGCGCCCTCTCGCTGTAAAGCCCTGGCCTAGACGGAGGTAGGGGTAGGGCTACGATATCTGGTTTTCGGGTGAGGGCGAAACTGTAAATTTTGTGTCCCAAAGCTGTGAATTCTCGCGCACCCGCTCCTCTCTCTCTCTTCTTTTTCTTTTGATTCTTCTTTTTGTTTTTGTTGGGATTTCTGAGTTTCTTTTGAGGTTTTATATTTTACTGATGTAAATATTCCAGATGCAAAGGCAATGGTGCTTGAAAAGAAGGTTCTCTTTCAGGATGCTGTGTTTCGATAAATGGCCGTTTTTCCAATCAAGAGACTGAAATATCTTTAATGTGATATGAAGGGTTCGAAAAATCAAAACTGGCCAAGGGCAGGGTCCAAGTAACGGGTAAATCAGCCTAACCAGGCAGGTCCTCATCAGTCCAAATAGTGTTACAAAACTCCAAAACAATACGAAAAGTATATTTAAAATTTAGTTGAAGTAAAAAAAAATTGTTGAGCGGTATTTTTGAAATTTTTAAAAAAATGGAAAAAATGTAAAAAATAAATATTTAAGGTTAAAATATATTTTAATATTTTTGAAAATAATTAAAAATATTAAAAAATACATTACAAACAAGATCATTATTTTTTTAGGATTTTATATATATATATATTTTAAAAAATTTCATAAGCAAAATAAAAGCCCTTTTCTTATAAACCGTGTTTTAGTAAACTGCCTTGATCATAAAACTATCTGGCAGGTTTGTACTCAAAATCAGTAGGCTTTCTACTAGGCATTTGGGTAGGGTTCCTACGCCTTGAGTAGACTCCTGAAACCAGAATTGAAAGGCGATAGTTCTGATCTAATCTAACCGGACAGTTCCGAATTGAAGCGAGCAATTTTTCTCATCGAAAACAACAAGGGGTCGGTTGTCATTTTCTTTGGTGGGAAGAATGTGATCTTGTTGATCCCCAAAGGAACAAGTGTCGGACAATCTTTTCTTTCATGCAGATTTGGCCCTGACTCTTAAACTCTTTTCTTCGATGGAAGTTACTAAGATTTTATTCAAATCTTACTAAGCCATTTGCTTCCCCATTTAGTTCAGCCTTATACTAATGGATAACATTCAAAGATTGATCCTCCACCTCCACAAAGTGACCCAGGGACAATATTTTTAATACCAATCAATCAGCTCTACCTCATTAGCTGAGACCATCCTATAAGGCCGCAAAAGAGTCGCAATGATCGAACTAATGTAATCCCTTAATCAAACCACCACAGGCAGGATTAAAAAGGGTCGTAACTAGGTGTTGGTCCTGTTTCTTCAGGGTCTTGAGAGGAGTGGATTGGAAACGGTCTTTAACTTTTGACTTATGTACAAAATGGTTGCTCTCAAGACTCGAATCCGTGCTCTTGAGCTGACTATCGCAACCTTTTACCGTCACACCACCACAGCTAGGATTACCCATCAAAATTCAGCTTGGTTTCATCTGGTGGGGATTTTCCAACCTCCAATAATCTTCCTCTTAGATTTCCCCATCTTTACAACTTTTATGAGATTGAACTGTAACACATGTTTAGATATGCTCCCAACATTGAAACACTCCAAAAACACTACTTCTATCTTCACCGCTACTCACATTATTAAAAATCCTTCTATTTCTCTTCTTTTATATTTCCCTAACTACGGTGGCCCCTAAAATTCTCCAAAGAATTTTACCAACCTTTGGTTACAAGGGAAGATTCATTTGATCAATAATATTTCTCGGTAGTCACTGCTGTTAACCAAGACTTTAACCCTCTTTCCCAAGTTGTTCGCAGTGAAAAGACAATTCAAAGATAACAACCAAAAGAAAGCCTGTACCTTTTCCGGGATCGCCCATTTCCAACTTTTAGCCAAATCATGCTTCACCCACCTATATCTATCAGTTAATAATAAAGGACACAAAAATTTATCCCCCCCCCCACCCCCCCGAATCCAGTTCCCACACTGCATCTCTATTATGTGTAGATTTTGTTCCATGTAAAGTAGGATGCTTTGATCTGATGCTTTAGTAGCCAACCTACAAAAATTTTTGTGGGAATAAAAAGGAAAAGAGAAAAAAGAAAAACTAATGGTAATTGGTAAAGGACTAAAAGAAAAGAATGGAAATGGGCTCTAGAAGGAAGGAGGAAAGGTATCTTGGTCCTTTCTTTTGTGCAATAGGAGCCTCTTTATATCCGGTTGAGAGAGAAATTTAGGGTTAAAAAGGGGTCTCAATTTGCGCATGCCTCAACTTCTCTTTTCTTGGGGAGGTTTCTTTTCCGGGATGCTGACACCCACTTGTAATATATATTCTCTTTTACTTGGTGGTATATTTGGGGGTCTAAATTATAGACTCCAATCTAAACTACATTAACATTAATCTAAACTAAATTAACATTAATCTTTGCTCGCGTTACGCATGGCATGAAGAAAGTATATATGTTTTGGAATTGATTTGGACATGCAAATAGAATAGAGGGGAGGGTAGGAGTAAAATGAGGCAGCATATGGTCAAAATAATGCTGAGTTTTGGGAGGTGAAAGTCTAGTCTCCCTTCACTTGACATCACTACCTTCAAAGTCTCCATTCTTAAATGTCAAATGGTGTTCTTTTGTAGTATATTATTATTAATAGCTAACACATGTCTCCTTTCTTTAAACTTTTTCCCTTACTTTTTCCTTTAATTAATCCATGAGTTAGAAACCTTCTTCCTTGCTTTATTTTTCTGATATGGTTATTAAATTGGTAGTTAGGCAAGATTTGAACCGCCTCGCCGGTTGCTACTAAGGTTGATCATGATTATATAATTATTTAGTTCTGCCTTTAGCATGGCATTGTTTCACATTAGATGTAGGATTTTGGACTATGATACCAAATAGAGAAATGATGTAATGACTAAGGAAGGATTATATAGAACAATGTTAAAAAAATTGTGGTGTCGACTTGGAATCGCTCTGAACCGGTGGCTACTGACCAACATCGTACTGAGGAGGTGGTTTAGGCAAGTTGCCTGGTGCCCACATTTTCATTGAAAAATAAATAAAAGAAAATTTCTTTTAGCAGTTTTTTACCAACCAATAATCCATCTCTAATCCCCAATTTGACTGATTTTCACACAAGTTAATCCCTTTTAGCTTCCAAGACTCTTTTCTCTGCTCAAAAGTTGTATTTGGCAAGATTATTTGATGAAAATACTTCCATTATTTGGCCATAAAACCCAATGGCCCATCTTGCAATCAATCAATCTCTCTCTCTCAACCAAATAATCTCCAACTTCATTTAAAATGATGGTATTAGAGCCTCTAATAGGCCCCTATGACAATTTGTTCGAGCACAAAGCAAAATAGAAGATTCGAGATTCCAAATTTCGGGGTTTTGTGTAATCAAAATTCAAATATTCTACCGTATTTTTTCACCGAATGTCATTCAAATGTTTTTGAATCATAACAAAAAATCTCGATTTTTGGTATTCTCTTAGCCAATATTTTCAGCCGCTTTTTTCCCAAATTGTTTCGTGATATTAATTTTTTTATTTTGATTTGACTCATGCCTTCTATTATTTGAAATCTAATAGTTTATTTTCAATCTCTGATTTTATATTTTTTATTATTTTTATTTTCCCCATGTTTTATTTATTTATTAAGATACTGGTTGAGTCGGCTATTAGCCAAGCCAACTTGGAGATTTAGTGAGTTTGACATGGACCGATGGGTGGCTTGCCGGTCTGAGTTTTTAAGCAATGATGTAGACCATCGAGCTATTGGGGCTCTACTTTTGCTACCCCTTGCCCAATGCTCTATATGGGCCAGGGTATTCTAATTCTTAAGGACATGGCTCATTTTATCATTGTGCTGTGGCAGAAGGGGAAATTGTTTAGGGCAAGTTTGATAACTAAATCTTTTAGCTCTAGAAGCTAGAATTTCATATTTACTGTAACACTTCCTTGTTTGTTAACGGAAAGTGCCACATGAAATTGGATTAAAGGAAGTTTTAGGTTCTTAAAAAATTGAGAACCTATAACTTCCATTCATCTATGGAAGTTTGTGTTATACGTCATTTTTTACATATTTATATTCCCGAATCACTTAAGGAGAGAGCCAATAACAACCTGGTCCTGTCGGTACCCAAGACACCGTTGGACCATGGAAATACTGCAAAATAAGCCTAAAGACTGGGCAACGGTAGAAAAAGTGCTAGGACGGCTTTGAAAGACATGAAAATGATAGTTTGGGATGCACTAAGGACACTCACAAGGTTTCGTCGCATTCCGATAAGTTTTGATACAATCAGTATGAAATTCGGTTGTCAAGACCAGTTCCTATCATGCCAAAAAGTGACCTTATAACTACAGCCCTATTTTAGGGGCTTTAAAACAATACTAGACCACTGCCATTATACTGAAAACATTGAAAAATACCCACGGACTAAATTTGAGCTCAATCGGACCTCCCAAGAACGTACTGGGCCCAAATTACCACAAAGGGTATGTTTTATATTATTGTGGTGCAGCCTCACCAAACTAGTTTCTAATCTTTGAACTTTATTTTTACATTTCAGGATGATCTTCAAGCATCCACAGGTCACTTGTTTGGAATTGGAACAAGCTTAAATTCGGACACATGCTAGGTTTCGACGACTCGGTCATTTGGACATATGGCACGTGTCATGACGTGACCCAGAACCAAAGTTTTTCTACAAAGAAGATGAGCTCGAAACCATGAAATCAAGGTTTTGAAAGTAAGACATCCCGCGCTTCGTGAATCGATAACTTGAGATCCGTGCATTAGATCATTGTAAAATCGGGCATGATGTGATCGTGTCATGAAGGGCTACAAACTGGTATACGTTTTGCCTCAATTGAAGGTCAGATAGCACAAATTCTAAGGTTAAAGATGGCAAGGTTTTTCTAGTCACTGGAATCCCTTTTTTCGGTGACCTCTCAAATTCAGAAATACTTCAAGCAAGAACCAAATTGGACAAAACTTAGTGCAAATCGATTGTGATGGTATCTTCTTTAATTTGCAATTAAAATGAAGACTCGGAGCACCATGAATCACATTGCATTGACAGCTAAATATCACAATCTAGCCAAATTTTTACCCTTTGGGACAAGTCCATCTCAAGACGATCAAAATATACAAAAAAGTTCAAAATCAAGCAAACATCAAGTCTATGATGATGGATTGTCTGTATCACTGCCACAAGTACTAAAAAAAGCTTCCAAAATTTGATGATGGCTAGAGTCCCCTCAGAGAGGGATGGTTTCGTCATTAGCACAAAACGTT